TGGAGCACCTGAGGCTGATCGCCGGTCGTTAGACGTGAAATTGCCGGCGGTGGAGCAGAATATCCGACTCTTCGCAGATCTTCCAAGAACCGCGCAACAATTTGATCGGGAGTTTCTTGGGGGACTGGAGGTCGACCGCAATAGATCCAGTCGTGCCGTCGATCTCCTTCGAAGCCGAGGAGTAGTGGGAGGATGGATCCGATCCACCGCTGCTTCGCCGGAGGGGAAGACATCAACACCACCGCCGATCCGCCACAATTCATTTTTTGGCCAAGATAATACGCTGGCTTCATTGGTGGCTATGCTGATACCCTGAAGCAGTTGGCAGAAATTTGTGAAACTGGTTACTGGAATACTTCCAGTATGCCTGCAGGGATTATAAGGTTGAATACGTGCAAACAGAACAGATGATGGTTTACAAATTACAACCTCATCTTCTTCCTTTGCTAATCAGGTCCCTTTTTCTCAATTCTCCCTCTTTTAAAATGCTTAGATAACTGCTATGCTTTGCTGATGTTTTCAATTTATGCATGCACTTAAATATTCAAGCATTATGCCCAGTTTTTTGCATGCACTAGATCCAAATATTTTCTCAATAGTTTGTGCTCCAACTTTTCAATGCAAATATGTCAGTTGATAAGGCTTTTGTTGTCATTACCTATCAATATATATGAGTTACCTCAATTTGTCAATGATAATCATGAAAGGTGCACTTTGTTATGAACTTGCTATTTGCCACTTTGATTGCAAATTAGTCAAAGTTAACGCTTTATTCTGCTTGAGCTGTGCATTCTTTGAACTTGCCTATTACCAAAAGAAATTTGTTATATTAAACTGACTATTATTTGCTATAGGCCATTTTTGATGATGAGATTTTTTCTTAAATCTTAATCGGAATTTGCATAAATGCATGTAATTTTTGCCTAGAAATGAAGCACTTATTATATGATCGTCCATGAAGGATCGTCTTGATTAACAAGTGATTATATATAGCCGAAACTCTAAACGTAGCATTGCCCAGAAGGCGAATTCATAGCGCTAGTTATATGATAATAGCACTATGACAAGTTATGTGACTAATGTCAAATTGATTTAATTCTGATTTGGAAGTCGATGATTATTTGTCCAAATTCATGCATATTGATGGTACTAGTCTTTATCATAAAATTATATGGCATGAGTCTTGAATCTTGAATATCTCAAATTTGAGTATCTGAACAAAATAATAGTGCATTTTTTCAATATAGTTTTGCCCAGAAGGTAAATCAAGAGCACTAATTTTATCTGTCACCCGTTATCTTGGCCCAAGCACTCGATTATAGATATTTGATCTAAAAGGATCTATAGACCATAAGTCAATCCCTGAAGGATATTTGGTGTATGTTATTTGGTGTATGCGGGTCTCATTGTCAATGGTCGTATTGTACTCTAGTAGTAGTATATGACAAAATTATGCAAAGTGTTTGGTCATTGGGCTATTTTTAATAAGGTCTAGAAGACCCTGAATGTGGATTGATCTTTAAAGTGACTAATGACTTATGAATGAAGTTTGCAACTTCTATTTCCAATGCTATGATACTCTCTGAAAGTCAAAATTGACTCACATCATGTTGGTTTGCCTGAAGCAAACAAGTTGTGTTTTTTTTTTTTTTTACACATAGTAATCACTGCCTGAAAATTCTGACCGGCGCAGTTTGAAAATTAAATTCGTGAAAAATACTTCTTGAACTCCTTTTGGCATGGAATTTTTTCTGGAGAACCTAGACTCGTGGTATTTGATGTCTATAAAAATATTTTGTTAAAAATATGCTTTGGTTATTCCAGAAAAAATTGTAAAGTTTTGGCAGTGTGCTGCCAATTATTTTTCTGCATGGAGAAATGTTGGAAAAAATCTCGGGAAAAATACTTTTACACCTTGGATTGGCATGAAAATTTTCGTGTACGTTCTATACTTGATGAACTACATATATGTAAAATTTTGTGCCAAAATGTGTTACCATTTTTCCCCAAGAAAATTCTGAAATCCAGGTCACAATTCTGAAAATTTTTGCCGTTTTCAACTTGTATATCTTGCTATTTTGTGATGTTTTCATGCTTGTATGAAACTATGAGATAAAATGAGAGCTTGCTTGGAAAAGTACTATTTTTGACTCCCAAAATAGGAATGAATGGGCCCGGCAGCAAACATGTGCTCATTATTCTTCGGCGAACGGTACTTCTCTCATTTTTCTATTTTATGAATTAATAAGAATATCTCTTGTCATGTCATGTATTTGTATACCAAATATGATGTGCATGACTAAATTGAGTTTTTGGTGTCCAAGACATAAGGGACAAATATATCACATATTGCATGTGCTTCTCTTTAATTGACATCATTTAGCATATAATCTCTTGATTATGTTTATATAAGAGATTTTGTTATTTCTCTTGTTGGAAATTTATGATGTGCTATAGGCCATAGCTATTGAGATTTATCACCAAACTTATAAGTGGGAAAATAGCATGAATTCTCAATATGGTTAGGTTGCATCTGTCGTTGCTAAACCTTAACTTGCATGTGGTAACAATTAAAGACTATGACATGTTTACAGTGCTAGTTTCTGCTATAGAAACTCTTTGACATGAGATTTGGGCATATGATATTTAAATTTATACCCCTCATTTTTTTATATTTATTTGCCCAGAAGGTAGACTAAGGACTTTAATTCTCTAAGTCACCCATTAGGATGGACCTTGACGATAATTTCATGACAAAAAATGGTCCACCTATCCCATCAATCCCCGAAGGATTGCTATGACGTTACTATGAGTCAAGTTCTTTTTACCCAAGTCTTAACTCAATGCATATCACAAATCAATCCCTCAAGGATTGCTATTCCCCCTTTTTCACCTAGTACGTGGTTTCAGAAGTAACATTTCCCTATCTGCGTTATTTTATTTGCGCAGTCTATTTTATATCACCACCACAACGTACCTCTAAAAGGGCTATCAAAGAAACCTCCGTCGTCTATTGATTAAATATCGAAAGCCCATATAATTGGGTACGTTGACTGCATTCCTAATGAAGATTGTTTCTCGGCATTAGGGGGAGATAATATACTACCCCGTAGCTTTTTGGAATGCCAAGAAATTTCATAAGAATAAAAACATCTTCATTATTTAAATCCATGTACTAGTTAGATTGAACTGGAAGTTCAAAAGATAATCTATTTGCGATTTTAGCAAATAATCTGCCGAATACATCTATTGATCATAATGATCATAAAAGAAGTGACTAGGTCCTATATCCTTGGACCAAACATAGCTATCGATACTCCTTGACACCAGAAGTGTAGGAGACCTATCGGTGAAAGAGATATGAATCATAATACTAGATCTAGTAAAGAAATATTGTCACTCTTGAAATAGTTTGAATAATTATGTCCTGCAGACGTTCGTTCAGATGACGAAAAACCCTGGTAAGACTTATAGGTGCACCAAACAAACGTAATACTAGGGATACGGAACGACCAGATCAAAATATCTTTGGGAAATGTTTAGAATCTGGTTGTTTTAGAAATTGCCATTACTTTTACAAATATGGGAGTTTTACAAAAAAGTTATAGTTGTCGACAACACAATTGCTATTACAAATTGCTCGTTATATAATCTGGATCCAGAGTTAGGCACCAGAAGTGCCATGACTATTTAATATATAAAGGAGAAATTAAGGCATAGCTTGACTCGCTAAAATGAATAAATTCTCTTTATAACAATACACCATTTGAGCGTTAACCCTGAAGGTTACAAATGAGTGTGTGCATAAAAGAGAAATAAGAATAATGAGGTGATAAAGCGAGTTTGTAGCCTATGGGTTCACGCAGAGACCCTTAATTGAATTTAATCAAATATACTCTCCCACGGTAAATGGCATTAAGTTCCGCTACATAATACAATTGGCAGAATAATAAATTCAGATATGCAGTTAAATTTATCTTGAGAAATCCTTGATGGATTCATAATTCTCGAAATGAGGATTTTGAAGTATTATTATGTGTCATTATTTACTCTTTAAAGGGTTGCGAATGGAGTTAATATCCTCATTGAAGGAATAATATGTACCATTGTGTGCTCGATAAAGGGTTGATAATGAACTTATTATCTCAGTCAAGATTGATGGTGTAAACATCAATGAAATATATAAAGAACTCGAGAATGTCAGTTCATGTTTAAAGACTGAGACTTTTGAAATAAAAAGCTTGTGAAAGCTATAAGTATTATCTCGACTTGAAGATCGAGTTTTTCTTTGAAGATTCTTTTATATACACCAGTCAACCTACATCTAAAAATGTTTTTTTTCACATGTCTATATGCATATAAGTGTCATGTTTTTATCAAACTAAAGGTTGCCTAATAATCTCTTGAAGCAGATAAGGAACTTTTTTGGACTCGAAGTCCCTTACTTCATTATCATTGGAGCACCATTATAGAACCAGAAGTTCCATAACCGCAACATATTTGCGATAAAATTGCTAGCAAAATCTAGTGTTCCCCTACAAATGAAGTACTTGAATAATGATTGACATATCCTCCGGTATCTTCGAGATACAAAAACATGACATTTATGTAAGAAACCATGATACGGTTTTAATAGGCTACTTGGGTACTGGCTGTTTTTGTTTGATCCCCGCAATGCCAAGTCCAAACTGGTTATACAATGTCTTTCCCTAAATGTTCAAAATGAGGACAATAATACTTGTGTTGCACAAATGTTATATGAGCTCTAGAAGAGCCATAAGATTATTAGACATTTACTCTAGTGACAATCCAGAAGATTTGTCCAATCCATTTCTTCAAATTTTTGAAATATATGTAGAACTTGAAGATTTTTATCTTCAGGGGGAGACATGAAGTACATTTACTCGAATCAATCCGGAAGATTGAATGTGAAATCCTGAAGATTAAGTCATAAAAGACTCACAGTTGCGCATTATTTGCAACACATAAATTCATAAATATCATGTACTCTTTTCCTCACTAGTTTTCTCCCATTGGGTTTTTCTAGTGTGGTTTTTAACGAGGCATGTGTATGATATAGTAATGACAATGGAAAAGGTTGCGAAATAATTGCTTAAATGGACAAACCCCAAAATCCTGAAGATTATGCAGTTTGCGCCCTGAAGGCTTATGGTTGTACTCTTTTTCCCTTAACTAAGTTTTTCCCACAGGGTTTTCTTAAGTTAAGGTTTTTAATGAGGCGACCAATACAATATATGTTTTTATATATATCATGTACTCTTTTCTTCAACTAGGTTTTTTCCCACGTGGTTTTCCTAGTGAAGTTTTTAATGAGGCATGAATGTATGCTATCCATATACCTTGTACTCTTTTCTTGTCTAGGTTTTTCCCACTGGGTTTTCCTAGCAAGTTTGTTATTAAAGCAAGATTGTGGACAAATAATGTCCAAGGGGGAGTGTTATAAATATTTCATTCATTATGGACATTATTGTTGGTTTGTAACATATGTAACAGTTATGTCATTTAGTATAATACTTAATGATTGTACATGTATATATATTCAGATATTGAAATAACAGATGGAGGGGTCTCTCTGGCTTATTGTGTTCTTTATCTCTTCTCTATCTTCTTTATCTAAATTCTATTGATCAATATGTTTGAGCTAATAAACATATTACAACAGTAATGACATAATGGTCATTTAGTTAAAATAAAAAAACGTAGGTAAAATTGTGATAGCAGCAATGTCCGGAACAGGTGCCTACAATATCTACGCACCTGTCTTCCTCACTCGCAGCACTGCAGCTGTTTGTACTTAGGCGGGTACCTAAGATAATACTATAAATTACTTGAAAAAGAATCAAATTAATAATAATAATACGCAAAAATGGAGCTTGACACCGCCGAATTGGAGGATGCGGCGGTCTCTGCTGGCGACGCCACCGTCGAGAGCGGTGCCGGTGGCGGTACAGGTGAGGAAGACGACGAGGTGGTGGTGTTGGAAGACGGCAGCGGAAACAGCGACCAAATGAGCGATAAGAAGGCGGCGGCGGACCGAGTGAAAGGGCCGTGGTCGCCGGAGGAGGACGCGATACTGAGTAGGCTCGTGAGCAATTTCGGGCCGAGGAATTGGAGCCTGATCGCTCGAGGAATTTCCGGCAGATCGGGGAAGTCGTGTCGCCTCCGCTGGTGCAATCAGCTTGACCCTGCCGTCAAACGCAAGCCGTTTACTGGTAACTCTCAATTTCATTTTCTCCGAAACATATTTAGGAATTTTGCTAATTTGAACCATCATCATAGGGCAAAATGTGTAGATTCACTTGTAAGAGAAATAGGATTTGATAATTGCATAGACTCGCTGTTTACACCAATGTGGATGTGACTTTAAACATACAAAGAGGACTGAGAAGAAATCATAGTTGTAAAGCTTTGTCTTTTACTAAATTGTGAATTAGTATCAAAGAAAACAAGTTACAAGCAAAGTGAATGGAATGGAATCTCTCAAATCAAATTCCAGTTGTTATAAAAAGTTGAATAGTGAACATTGATAGGGTGTCCTATGAACACGAAAAAGGAGAGTGTATTTTCCATTTCAAACATAAGTGCATCCTTGTTCTTTCCCTATAATGATAGCCCCTCCTACAGTCCTACTCTCCTAGGACACATTAGATGGTAGTGGTATGAACTGAGGCATTTAAACTCGAGATTTCATACTTCTAGATGAGGGTAAAAGTGTTGGTAATACATATATATATGCATGAAATTCCTATGTTAACTGTGGAGGTTAGCTGTGCTTAGAAAGTAGTTTATTTATTTATTTATTATTATTATTTTTTACTTTTTGAAGTAGTGAAACAATTTACATATTCATTAGATGTTCTGGCTTGGAGAAAATTGTATTGAGTTCAATTTGTAAGCATTAAGTTATAGCATGCTGTCAGTCGGTTTACCACTTCCATTGCCATTTCTCCTTGTAGAGTAATGAACAGAGAATTGCTTCTACCTATTTTCCTTGGTGAGAACAAATATCCGTTGTAAATCTTGCTTGGGAGTTTGTTTAGAAAGCAACTAATGCTTGCTAATCCATTTGGTAATGGATGTTGAAATATACTATTTAGAATTCTGTGTGGAGTGAGCTATACTTGTAGGCTTTCCATTTTAGAGAACAATCACTTTCATTTCAACTGGTTTGGGACATTTGATAGAGTCTGGACAAGTTCTTTGTTAGGCACCAATTCTTATTTATTTCTATGTCTAACACCTAAAGCCATATGGCCCAAAGTAGATCACCCCCGGGTATGTTTGGCGTGGGGGGATTGTTGTACTCTACCTTTTCTATCATCATTCCTCGTATTTCTGCATGTAAGGGGAAATGTGCGTAGTTTACCACTTTGCCTTAGATAGGATATTCTGCATTTTATAATTATTCTACAGTGACGTAAATGCTTTTAGTACAGAATGTGACAAAAATTTCAATTATCTAAATTCTAAAATGCCAACGAGACTAAAAAATCTATCAATTGTGACAAAATTTGATGATCTAAAATACCAACGAGACTAACAAAACTATGAATTGTGACAGAGGAAGAAGATCGCATAATTCTCCAGGCACATGCTGTCCATGGAAATAAATGGGCATCAATTGCAAAGCTTTTGCCTGGAAGAACAGACAATGCAATTAAAAATCACTGGAATTCTACCTTGAGGCGGCACTATGCGGCACTTGGAAAGCTTAAGGGTGAGTTTGGTAACATGGGTGAAGATGTTAGCCCTGAAAGATCTAAAGCTTCCTCTGAGGATACTCAATCATGTGGAGACGTCAATTCATTGAAGGCTTCTGAGGGAAAAGATTTCTTCTCGGTTGAAAATCCAAATGATGTACCCTCTGAAGACAAGAACCAGGATGCAGTTCAATCTATTGAAGAACCAAGGGAACCGCCTACTCTGTTCCGCCCTGTGGCGCGTGTAAGTGCTTTTAATGTTTATAATTCTTTGGACGGCCCAGAAGCCTTGTTCTCAGTACCAAGAGTTACTCCTCTACAAGGATCTTCGCTTCAAGCCACCTCAAATCCAAATATCGGGATCAGCAAATTGCTTGAAGGAGCTTTTGGTGAACAATTGGTTCCTTGTCAGTGTGGCCATGGTTGCTGTGGAAATTCACCTCAAGGAAATCATAACAGTTCCTTACTGGGTCCTGAGTTCGTTGACTATTCAGAGTCTCCATCCTTCCCAATCCATGAATTGGCTGCATTAGCCACCGACATAAGTAACGTCGCTTGGCGTAATAGTGGATTGGAAAATGGAAGCATCAACTTGTTCTCCAATTCAGCTAGTAGTGTGATGTGTGGCGCCTCTCATGCACAAGGAGAAAGTTTGGAGGAGATGAGGAAGAGCGACCACCATTCACAGCTTGAAAAGGGCAAGGCATTGATGGCAGATCCAGCTTCAACACCAATATCTAGACAACCTCTACAAGTAAATACTAAAACTTGAAGCACGAGCTAATCGGGTGAATTCATTCGCATAATTTGGTAAAATTTTCAAAGCCACATGACAAGTAAGTAATCCAGAATACATTATCGTGTATTTGAGCCTCTAATCAGTAAAATATCTTGGCCTTGGCCCATGGCTTAGAGTTGCTCACAAATTGTTCAAGCTAAAAGCCTAAAACAGTCTTGAGTCCTTGCATTAACGTGCTGGAGAGATGGGATTTGCATGGTTGTTGTGCCTTAACAAGAACAACATACTACATTTTTTAGTTGTTTTCAGATTTTCATTTTCTTTGAAAGCATTTAGCCAAAGGTTGCGGTGGTAGAAATGTAGAATGGAATAACTTGGTACATTTTTGCTTTTGCTTCCTTTTACATTTTTTTGGATGATGAGGGAAACCTCACAACCCTTTTGGGTATAAGTAAACTCAGCCTTGTGACCCTAGCTGGCAAAGGACCATAAGGAAGTAAACCAGACTAAGTTACCTATAGTTGACCGGCTCAAACCAAGGAGGCAAGGATTTGAACTCGTGACCTTGTGGTTACAAGCGTGGATCTCAAAGGTTGAGTCCCCAACCCCAAGGGCCCCCCACACCATGGTGACTTAATAGCTCAGCAGACAGGATCAAATGTCGGTGCGCACAAGGGATCTACCCACTTTGGGTATAATCTCCACACTGCTACTGCCGAGGTTCGAACCTTGGTCTCTTCTCCTAAATACTGCATGTTGAACCAGTGAGCGAAAACCGTGCTTACTAACTTAATTTTACAGTTTGTTTCTTCTGATTGTATACTTCTACTTGGTGCCGTTTGAGTGGGGACCTTTCTGTTGGCCGACAACTCGTGTTCTGTACTTTGGTATAATGTTCTGTACTTTGGTATAATACCATTGCCCTGTGCCCCTATTATGTGTGTTTGTCTTTGCAGAAGCCTCTTATTCTTGGAGATATCTTGATATTGACATACATATATGGAATTTAGACAGCAAGAAGATGGCAGCAGACATTATTATTTTGTGAGCCTATGCGGCTATGCTCATATTTACTTGATGAAACTCCATGTACATTATTATCCTTGAATTGGATATTCATCATTAGAATTTTTCTCAAATGTCTTTTACTACCTCTTTCTAAAACTGGCAAAAGAGAAGGATATTGGGGTTGATAAAATAATTTTTTTTTTTAAATGGTGACATGTAACAACGGCAAATTATGTTGTGCATCCGTATGCACCATGCAAAAATGTGCATCGTTTTATTAGAAACTGAATTTTTTTTTTTGATCGAAACTGATTTTTTTTTTTTTTTTTAAGTGAGATGCATGTTTTTAATAAAACGACGTCGTTTTTGCATCCGTATGCACCATGCACAGCAACAGTCTTTTTTTTTTTTTTTTGGGGGGGGGGGGGGGGGGGGGGAGGGGTGGGTAAAGAGGCATTATAGCAACCCCATCTGGGGTTTATTTGAGGTTTTTTCTTTTAAAAAAATATTAAAAGCGCGGTGCACATTTTGCACACCAATTGCGCTTAGTGGAGACTCGTGCCTGTTGGACACGTAAATCATAATTTTATTTTAGACGACAATTTTCTCTCGTCTTTTTTTTTTTTTTTTTCATTTCATTTTCTCACTTCTAATTGACCTGGAAAAAAAAAATCCCCCAAAAAAATCACTTTTGGATGCTCTTAGAAAAGCTCCCTCACGTCATTATCATTTTAATGATGTTTTCTAATCAAATTATTACATGTGACCCTTTTTTTATTACCGTTGTCGTGGTTATAAAATATGAGTTCTACTATGCATATTCTTAAACTCTCTTAATTTTACATCCTGATGTGACAAATAAGGATGAGTTATTTCCATCATGGGTGTGACACCCCGTAAACCTAAATACTAATTGAGGATTAATTGAAGAATTAATCCAAGCTTTCTTTGCTAATTCATTTCTAAAAAATCCTGAAATTTAATAGTCGAGGGACTAAATTTTGACTAGTCACTTAAATCTATTGAGTGTACCTTGTGCTTCATGAGTTGTGTCCTTGTCCCCTTGTCTTTCCAACCTTAGTAAGGGTAAAAGAGGCTTTTCACTCATGAATTGTTGTTCAAGCTACCCTAGCAAGATATTTCATTTCATTCATTCAAGCCTAAGTCTCAAACACTCTAGCCTCTCTCTAAAATAACTTAGCTTATTCTTCAAGCAAGAAGGTGAACCTCCAAGCCTTGCAAGATCCTTCACCAAGATTCCTACTTTCTTCTTCTTGAGCATAGGAAAGGGTAATGTTCTTAGCTTTTTGGTGTTTTTAGCCATCTTTTGGGTGTCTTTAACTAAAGTTAGAATCTTTCTTGTGTTTTGGTTTGTGTAAGAAGTTGGTGTGGAAGAAGAGCTCTAGGAAAGGCTTAAGAGGGTGAAAAAGAGTAGTTGTTGGTCTACAAAGGTAACCCATGTTATACAAAACCTATTTTCTTACTTAAATGATGATTATTGGCTTCTACTTGATGTTCTTGATGTGATTTGTGAGATTTGATGCATGGTCTTGTGATGATGCATGTTTAGAGCTTGTTTTTAGGTTTCTTGAATGCCATTGCTGGGCTATTTCTTGGGTTCAAGTCATATCATTGTTGTGTGTGAGATTTTGGGTGTTTTGGACTTGAAATTGGCCTTGTCGTTGATTTTTCCCGAAAGGAAATTTTGGAGTACGGAGCGTATCCCGCGGGCGGAACGGCGGGCAGTGGCCTACCCGCCGCCCCACCCGCAGGGAACAGGCTCTCGTGGGCATTGTACCCCCGCGGGCAGGCCCACGGGGGGGGGGGGGGGGGCGGGGGGGGGGGGGGCTACCCGTGGCCCCACCCGCGGGGAACATTATGGTGGGTTGCGGGGATTTGTTCCCCGTGATCCTTTTCTTCTTGGTGTTGATGTTTTGACCTCCCGTTGTTGGATTATTGAGCTATTTGTGAGTGTTCTTGATGTTTCGTATGTCTAGAACGGTGTGTTAGGAATCCATATAGGATTTGGTGTCTTGAATCGTGCTAAGGTCCAACCTTGTGATTCGTTGGGCTAATATGAGTCTTGAAGGTTCGTTTTGACCATTTTGGTTTACTCGCTTGTTGAGCATGCTAGTTTGATGTTGTTATGCTAGTATGTGTGGTTTGTTCCTTCTTATTGGGGTTGGCAACTTGTGTTGTTAATCATTTGGTGTGGGATTGTATCCTTCGTTGTTGAGTAACGTCTCATGTCTTTGTTGTGATCTCTTGACTGATTCTTATGGTGTGATCTTGAACAAATCGTTGTACCCTTTGTTGATACTTGATTGGGGCCATTGATGGGCCTTGATCTTCTTGATGATGATGATGACTATGTGTGACTATGAATGAGATTGGTGGTGTGTGACTTGAGCTTTGCTCACAAGATTGGTGGTGTGTGAATATGATATTTAATGGTACCCTCGTGTACTGAGAATTCGGTGGTGTTGGTGGGGGACGACGGTCCCAGGCAGAATAAGGTTGGACTCAGAAGTATACGGTGACACTAGGAGGTAACGGTTGGAATTGTGATAAGGTCGAGACTAGCCATAAGGTTGGAACAGGGCATAAGGTTGGAACTTGGAACTATGAAACGTGACACATGAATGTGTCTTTATGTGATTGTGTGATTCCCTTGCTTATAAGCATGTCTTGATGTACTCTACCTTGTGAATGGTAGGTTGCATCCTGAGTTGTGTTGTCTTCGATGTTTGTGGTCTTGTTGTTGTTGTGAGGTTGATGATCCTCGTTCTTATTGAGAGTGTGATGAGTCTTTGATGTTGACTTCTTTCCTTGGTTTTGAAATGATATATATTGTATTCCCCAGTTTCAAATGGCTTTGATTATATCTATCTATATTATGCTATTTAACGCGTATTGATGGGTTACCAGCATTATTCGCTGACCGGGTGTTATCCCTATGTTTTACAGGTCTTGAGTAGATGACGAGCGCGCTAGTCGTTGTGGTAGCTAGTATAGTTCCCTCTTTTAGTTGCTTGTGTTGGGCCTGTGAGCCTTTGTTAGTTCATGGCCTGTGTGCCTTAGACTTGATATTGTTTTGATGGATAGTTGTAGACTTAGCATGTGCACCCATGGTTTATGGGCGTGGCATAACGCTTTCCGGTTTTATTTAGCTTTCGCTTTTGACTGCTTTGATGATTAGTCTTTTTATCTTTGAATTTATGTTTTTAAAAATGTTGGTAAACGGGGGTGTTACAATGCGAGTACACCGAAAAGTGTTTACATCAAGAACTTGTGACATGGAGTGAAAGTTAGGAGTATAAAATGATAGTACATCAAATATTTTTCATAAAATATAGGGTTACTTGATTGAGTTGATTCACCCAAATAATAAGTCAGACTTGACTTGAAGGTTTAGTTACAAGTTGTTGCCTCATCTAGACAAGACATGTAACATACATCTCCATCCAACGTACTCTAAAAATTGTGTCATTACTCATTAGACCTAAGACTGGAATTGGCGACAAGTATGAAGTAATACAAAAGTAACTTTGTTCGGTTTTTTAGTTGATCTATAAGGTTGTTCTCATCCCAGTAAATCTCTCCCTTGCTAAATAAGATTTTTCCTTTTTCTTTAATGCCACTATGGCTAGCAAGCTTGTTATTTTTGCAACCTTGTTAATGGCAGCAAAAGCTACCATGTAGTACTTTTTTGTTTGTTTGTTTGTTTTTTTTTTTTTTTGTTTTTTGTTTTTTGTTGTTTTTTTTTTTTTTTTTTTTTTTTTTTTTTTTTTTTTTTTTTTTTTTTAGTTTTGAGTTAATGTTTTAAAGTGATGTGGTATTGGAGTCCACTTTTAAAAATGGATTAGATTTAATTTGCATGATGTAATGTAAATAGTAAATGAATTGTAAATTTAGTAATGTGGAGGTAGGACTCACTTTTGAATGTGAGAAAGTATTGCAGGGATAACTACAGTTTCGCTGGATAATATACACTCAAATATGTGAAATTGTTATTCAGTTTCATTTTGTATGTTGGTACCGTTGGTAGAAAACACAAATAATAATAAAAAATAAGATTATTATTTTCTGGAAAGAAGGGAAGAAAAGATGAAGAAATTTGGCTAGTGTTTGGTGTTGGGTTTTTGCAAGAGTCAAGTGAGCACTCTTTCTTTAAAACCTTATTTGCCACCTCCCAAAGATGCTAGGAGCGTTGTGGCCTAGGCTTCCCAGGATAAAACTTGCTAGTGATTCAATGTTTGAGCACTCAAACAAGGAATCCGGCGAGCAAGACACGGTTATGAACACAGTATGGCTAAGAAGAGGAGTAGAAGCAGAATTTTGAGGTTGGAAAACAAAAGTTTCGTGCAGTGTTCTTGCTGTTCTCACTGTGTGTAAAACTCTACTGCCTCTACCCTCTCTTATATAGGGTTGAAGGAGCCAATAGCCTTTATTATGGCAATTAAAAATGACATTAAAGCTGCCTTCCAACAGCTATAACAGCAGGCCACTACCTGGGAATTGAATTCAGAATTCAAAATTGGAATTAATAGACAATTAATTCCGTAACAGATGGATCAATTAATTCCGTAACAGATGAATTCAATCCCCTCAACAGTCAGAACTTTCGGGTTCCAGACCGTTAGCGTACAGGGTTCGGTCTCAACTTTCGACCTCATCCAGTTTCGGCCCTTGCACCTCTCGTGGACTCTGTTGCACGAGAGTTGTGCTCTCGGTGCACCACAACCTCTCGTGTTCTCTTGTAGCACGAGAGTTGTGCTCTCGGCTCGTGCTCTCTTGTAGCACGAGAGTAGGTGCTCTCGGTTCGGTTCTGGCCGAACCAAGTGGCTATAATGAAAATGATGTCCGCAAGGCTAGCCAATTTCCGAATGACATTCGTGCCCCCAGGTGCCGGCGCACACGAGCTTGGGCTTGAATCAAGCCTTTTTCAATCTCTGCTAGTTGGAATTTGATTTGCACCCCCACCCCCACCCGCGCACGCGCGAGAGAGCCTCTATGCTATACAATTCTACAAGCTTCAAAAGAGTTCTTGTATATAAGGGGGGAAAATCTTCATTCCAAAGCAATGTGGGACAAAAGCTCACTTTTTCCCTTCATTTTCCAGCTCAAATGGGTCTACTTTGAGAATCAATATCTCATTCACCCATTATCCGTTTTGAGCGTACAATATATCGATCTCTTCGTCTCACTACGAAGAATCCGAATCCACTTTAACCCGACCCAAATCGGAAGTGAACCCCACTGATAATTGTACCACAAAATAGCCACTTAACATGCCATTTTATGCCATTTTAAGCTATTTTTCCAACATTGTATACATTGCAGTTTCATTTCAACACAACTACAGTTTCACTTGATAATATAAAAATAATACGTGAGGCAGTGTCAGTTTGGATACACTATAATTTCAGTTGGTAATTAATACATCAAACATGCGCGCTCCGTTAATTGTAACGGCGCGTTGTTTTTTTTACTTAAAAAATGGCGTTGTTTCATAGTATAATTGCTGAAAACACCTTATGTACTTTCGTTATTGTTAGGTGTTTGGCTCTCATTGGTTAGAACTACATGACAAGTTGAGTCTTTATCAATATTTCAAAAGAGACTCTCGTTTATATTATAATTTTATTATTTTCTTCCTATAATAATATTTAACAAATTTTATATTATAATTTTATTATTTTCTTCCTATAATAATATTTAACAAATTTGTAACTAAATTCTAGATTAATACAAAGAAAGAGTCTTTTCCAACATGTTATTGATCATCGACTCACATTATCTTCATCGGTATTTAATCCTATCAACAAGGTATCCACAGCCCATCAATCATAATCTTTTGCATGTAAATAATTCGTCACTTTTATAATTGGATTAGAGAATATCAAAAAGCAACTTTGAATTTTCACCCAAACAAAACTTAAAAAAAAAAAAAAACACTTTTTCTCCCTGAATTATATATTTATAGCAATTTTTCTTCCTGAATTATTTAAGTGGCTATTTTTTCCCTGAAATGTTAAATGGACATATTTACTTTTAAAATAAATATTTCATTTATTTTTCTTTTCCAACAAAGTATCCTCAACCAGGGGGAAGGCGGCCAGTTGGTCGCCTTCCGCCGGAGAAGGCGAGGTTGCCTTATTTTTTGTCGGAACGGAGCGCTGGTCGCCGAATTTTTCGTCGGAATTGAAATGACATGTAATAACAAGTCATTTACCGATTCTTGGGCTTCATTAACTCAATTTGACATGTTTGAGGGTTTAATTACACTTTTTAAAAGTTTAGGTACATAATTGACTTTTGGTGTATAATTTAGGGGCCTATTTGACCATTTTCCCAAACTTATTTTACGAAGTAACTTATATGAAATTACAACTGTTTATTAAGCATAATTTTGTTTTTGGGATTACGATGAAAACCCACAATCACTAGCTGAATGTATGTATTAAGTAAACCATGATCTTATGTAAAATTCTGCAGATCACAGAGAAATAAACCGCACTAAGAAATTCATGTGCACCAGACTCAACCGAGAAGATGTTGATAAAAATCAAATTTATAACAATTTAGTACAAAAAATTGATCTAAAATCATGCTCCGCTCATTTCACCACTCCTTTTCCAATTATATTTTTAATTCTTAGAATAATGTCGGTTATTGTTTTTTTAAACAAAACAAAAAACATAAAAAACAAAAAACAAAAAAAAAAACAAAAAAACAAAAAACAAAAAACAAAAAACAAAAAACTAATGTCGGTTATTGTTATTATATGTACACAACTTACAAATAACCAAAGTACTAGAAAACCAACCTTTTCTGTAACTGACCAAGAAAATCAAATAATCACATGATCACATGTATCATTGTCTAATAAAGGGAAAGGGGGAACTAAATAAATGAACAAGAAGAAAAAGCAAAAGAAAAAATAAAAGTTGGAAAAGAAAAATGATTCTGTGAGGCCAACTGCCCCAATGCAAATAGTCCAATATTTTCTGGTGCACTGCCTCCTCCTCCTCCTCCTAAACCACCACAGTGGTCCACCATTACTGAAAAAGTCACAGAAAAATGGTGTATGCATGCATTCTTCTTCTCCAAAAGATTGAATCCCCAATTCCAATGACATCTCACACTCAATGGTTCAGTAAACATATCCAAATATCGGTGCGCACAAGGAATTTACCTACTTTGAACATAATTTCCACATTGCCGCTGTCGACGAGGTTCGAACCTTGGTCTCTTCTTCTAAATACTGCCTACTGAACCAGTAAATTAAACCCGTGCAGACAATGCATCATTCTTCTTCTTCCATCGTTGGTGGCTCTGCCGCTATTATATATACTAGTATAGTACCCGTGCGATACACGGATAATAACATATATTCAATAATTATATATATTATTTATCAAATTTAAATAATGTAAATAAATACTCAAAATATTGTATAATATTCTAACAATATCTTATTATAATAAAGTATGTATAATACCTAATATCAAATTTTGCTTTATAATGACTTAGTGTTGAGATTAAATAAAAATTAAAAAAAAAAGAAAAGGAAAAAGAAAAAGGGACAATATACCCATCACTTGGCAAACTACAAAAATACCATGGACATACAAAGAGAACTATGCCAAAAATATCACAAAAACTGGACCTAATTTGTGGGTATTTATAAGCAAGTTAAGGGACATCTAAAAGCTAGAGTACAAAGTGACTTTGCTAGACATAAATTTTGAATTTAAAAATTTTAAATAAATGTAGTCAGCACAACAAATAATGTATTTGGCTGCTTAGAAGTATTAGAATTTGCATATACTAAACTATTACACTAAATATAATGTAATATTAGTAAGCGCAGGCTATGTGTATTGTTTAAGATGTTTAAGATAATATATTTTTTTTAGTAAATGCAGGCCATGCGTGTTGCTTCCATGGTGGACCAGGGTCACCTTTCATGGTGGGTCCTGGTCCAAAACGACATCGTTTTATATCAAATGTCAATTAGTACATCATATTTAACAATATTATCATAGACTATGTTCATAATATTTGTTCTATATGTTCATAAATCAAACTTTAGTGTCCCTAAACACAAAACTAAATATACATTATATGCATTTTCATTCATCTATAGTTGGTTCATAATATTCATTCAATGCG